GAGCCAGCGGTCTGGGTGGTAGAGACAGAGGATGAACCACTGCTTGCCTGAGGGGATCTGGCTCCTCTGGGGGGTGGGGGTCTAGTCACAGTGGCATACCCTTTTAGAGAGTGGCTTAGCTTCCCCACTGACCACTGTAGCTACTGGAAAGTTAGGTGTCCCTCAGTCAGGGAGAGGGCTCACTGAGAGCTTCCTCTACACAGCCAGAGACCACAGTTCCTTTCCCACCATCGTTTCCCTATCCTACCACTATCCAGTTGAATGTTTTTAAAAAGCAAAGTTCTTAAAGGGACATAGGCCTGGACACTCCATCCTTGCCAAACCCCAACCCTAAAGTGGCCTTAAACACGAGTGACAATTGACTGGAGACCCTCTAGCCCCAAGGGGAGGATTTAGATAGGGCCTGAGGTTTTGCCAGTCTCCATCCCTATAGAGCCTAGCTCACAAAAAGAATGCAACAAATGTTTTTGTCCCACACCTACAGCATTGCCCAAGAAATCAAGGTAAAAAAATAAAGGAATCATAAATTTTAACATTTTGTAAATCAGCTCTGAGCCTGGCCTCTCTCCCCATCTTGGTTTATGCTCCCTCTTGTTGCTCCTCTCTCTGAAGGTATTTGTTAGCCCTTTGCATGTTGCCCTCTTCCTATCCATCTTTCAGCCACCCCACCCTTGATTTTTATGTCCCTTGAAAGGTAAGAAAATTCAAGGAAGCAGGGTGCAGTGGTGCATGCCTATAATCTCAGCAGCTCGGGAGGCTGAGGCAGGAGGATGGCGATTTCAAAGCCATCCTCAGCAAAAGCGAGGTGCTAAGCAACTCAGTGAGATCCTGTCTCTAAATAAAATACAAAATAGGACTGGGGATGTGACTCAGTGGTTAAGAGCCCGCGAGTTCAATCCCTGGTACCAAAAGGAAAAAAAAAATTGAAGGAACCCTAAGGACCACCCTTCTTCACCTCTGCTCATTGCCTGGGGCCAGCCTTATAGTGACATAGGGTTGAGCATCAAATTTCTTTACTCACCCCTGGTTGGAAATCAGGGAGCCAGCTGGGCCCTACAGCTAGAAAGGTTCCCAGTTATGGAGTACTCTCAGAGCACAGATGTCACACAGGAACAATCTATCCCTGGTAGAACATAGGAGCTGTGTGACTCCTGCCCTCTACCCTCCCATCCCCATCAGGCACTTAACAGCCTGTCCTACACCAAAGAGATGAGCTCTCAGTGCAGCTTCCTCAAAACAGGGACCAAAGCTGGGTGCCATACTGCACACCTGCAATCCCAATGCCTTGCTAAAGCAGGAGGATACTAAGTTCAAGGCCAGCCTCAGCAACTTAGTGAAGCCCTCAGCAATTTAGCAAGATTCTGTCTCAAAAATGAAAAAGGGCTGAAGATGTGGCTCTGTTATAATGTACCCTAGGTTAAATCCCTGGTATTCCCCCCACACAAACAAAAAAGCAGGGAATGATTAGTCATAGGGAAAATCACAACCATTCAGCCTATGGAAGGGCTGGCATCACCAGGGCTGAATCCAAGAGGATGGGTTCTGCCAACAGTTGGGAGAGAGCTGTGAATTCTAGGGCAGGATAAACAACAACAAAACATGATGGCTAGACACTGGACTTCCTGAAAAGAGATAACTGAGCATAATAAGCAATGGTCAGAGCCAAAGAGCTGGAGAGGGATATCTCCTGAGAAATGGAGGCCTGCCTCTGGTGAGAAGGTGACAAGTTGTTGAAGAGTTTAATAAGAAAATCTTGGAGGGCTGGAGTTGTGGCTCAGCATAGAGCACTCGCATGGCACGTGTGAGGCCCTGGGTTCGATATTCAGCACCACATATAGATAAATAAAATAAACATATTGTGTACAACTAAAAAATAAATAGTAAAGAAAAAAAAGAAAATCTTGGGACATAGGATATAGAAGGAGCCTGTGGGAGTGAGACCTCAGGTGCAAAGCTGAGATGGTCCCCAGGGGAATGGGCCCCTTACTTCCCTGGTGGAAGGGCCCTGTTGATTATACCCTGTCAACATCCTCACAGTCAGTAGTAATTACAAAATTTCCCTCCTAGTAAGCAAGAGGAAGTGGCAGAGGGGGTGTGGACCCATGTGCAGTTCTGGGACCCTAGTAATTTGGCCCAGGAAAAACCTGAGCTCCTTCCACTCCACTTCCTCTCCAGAGTGTGTGGAAGGACCTCCAGGAAACCTGGCTCCTGCTTATGATTCTCCCTTGGGCCCTCCCAGTACAAACTGGATCCACCCAATGTCTCAGTGAAAAATGCAGTAGGAATGGTAATTTCCCCTTCCCTACTTCTTCACCTCCTCTTTGCATTCTCCCTTGCTGTTCTCTTCCTCCTTAGCCACCTTAAAAATCTGCAACCTGATATCTTCATCTCTTGACTTTTTCCAGACCTTTTTCTCTCTTAGGGGTATTTGCAGTTTTAAAGTAGACAAAGGTTAGGTTGAGGATCACAAGTTCAAATCCAGCCTCAGCAAAAGCAAGATTCTAAGCAACTCAGTGAGACCCTGTCTTTAAATAAAAAATACAAAATAGGTCTGGGGATGTGGCTCAATGGTCGAGTGCCCCTGAGTTCAATTCCTGGTATGCCACTCCCCCCAAAAAAATTTAAAAATAAATAAAGTGGACAAAGATTTAAAGTAAAAGCACCTCTTGTGGTGGTAGAATGCTTCAGAATGTTGGAGGGAGGGCCAAGCCTTAGGGCAAGAGTTCCCTAGGGAGGCCTTTGTTTATGGAAGTTTCTCTAGGATCTGTGTGTGCCTTACTGGATGAGGGGCAGGTGGTTCAAAGTAAAAAGCAGGCTGCTCCTTTGGCCCAAAGCTGAACTGGGGGAGGCAGAATTCAAAGTAGAGAATTGTTGCTGGGCTCTGCAGCCCCTGACTCACCCTTATCTAGTACAGAAAGGAATCCAACCACTCGAGAGGGTTTTCCAGATTCATAGAGATCACTACTTTACAATTTAAAACAAAACATAACTCATTTTGGAAGAAAATCATCCTAAAATGTTCCGCTCATCTTCAGAAGACCTGCAATATAAAAATTTTCTGAATAGCCGAGAATCATCCATGAAATCTGATGACTTCTTTGCAGCAGTGTCTTCATAAGCTGTAACTATTGTGGGGGACACTCTTTGACTATATATCAAATGACCTTAGACTTTTTTTTTTTTTTGGCAGCACTAAAGACTAAACCCAGGGGTGCCCTACCACCGAGCTTTTTTCTTTTGAGACAGGTCTCATTAAGTTGCCAAGGTGGGCCTTGAACTTGTGATCCTTTGCCTCAGCCCCCTGAATTACAGGTGTACACTACCATGCCTGGCCCTTAGACTCCTTTTTAATGCTTCTGGATGCTTTAAAAGTTTTTCTCCTGAGGTTGCCTCATTCTACCAGACTATTAGAGGGCACTTGCTACTCTAAATATGATTCTAATCTATTCTTTTGGGGGTTACTGGGACTTGAACCTGGGATACTTTACCACTGAGCCATATCACAGCCCTTTTTATTTTTGCTGAGGCTGGCCTTGAACTTGTGATCCTCCTGCCTCAGTCTCTTGAGTTACTAGGATTACAGGCATGTGCCACCACACCTGGCAGTTCTAATCTACTACAGGAACACACATGGACACATTAAAAGTGTGAATAAAATAAGGACAAGCAGACTGTTGGTGAGGACTGAAGAGTCTAATTAGTAAAATGTACAAATATATTAGAAGCTGAGGAGTATTCCCTGCTTCCTTTAGATCCTGTTCTCCAGACAAGTGAAGTGTCACTGCACTTCATTCCCAAGAATGTTATTTGCCTCTTCTATTGGAGAAGTCCTCCGAGGATGACAAAATGGATTGTTCCCAATAATAGAAGAGAGTTGGAATTTTTAAGACAAGGAAAGCAGCATAGCATAGAAATGAAAAAAATAGTCTTTGGCCTTGGAAAGCTCTGGGTGGAATCCCAGTCACCCCTGCATTATTACTTTGGGGACAGGCCACCCACCTACCATTATGAGTCTTCAGGTCAGGAAGAGGAAGGGAGATAATGCAAAACTATCTCTAGCATAGCATCTGGCAAATAGAGGGTGAAGTTGGGGAGAGGAAATCAGAAGGTGTATTTGGGTTCTTGAGAGTGTCCAGAAGAAAGGGGACAAGAGTCGAAACCTGAAGGGAAAAGAAGCTGGGCACAAAAGGGACAGTAAGGAGCTGCCTACATAGGTAGACACCATTCATTCTGGTATCTTTTTTTACCTGCTCTGATTAACACTGGCTGGGTGGGCCTGGTTGGGAGAGAGATGAGGTAAAGGAAGAAGCCTCTACAATGGTTTGCACCTACCTGAAACTAGTGACAAAAAAAGAAGAAGAAGAAGAAGAGGAAGAAGAAGAAGAAGAAGAAGAAGCTGCCCAAACAAAGCAGCTTTTCTTACAGATCCCCCATCTGCCTAAGGCCACACTTGGAAATGGGTACTTTTATGGCTCTCAGCCCAGAAGAGGCAGAGTGGAAGAGGAGACAGTGGTGGGGTGGATGGCCCACTGCCCCTGCATCTCTTTTGGTATATTTTTCTTTTGTCTTTCAGATCAGCTTATTGTCTTTTTGCCTCTCATCCTTCTTTTCAACCACTGAGCACCCATTCTGGGGCTACATGCTGGGATAGGGGGCTGGAAACAGACACAAATGATACATAGTTTTCATTCTGACACTTGGAGAAAAAGACCTTTCCTACCCTGGGAATCTGCCTCCTGCCATTCTCAGCTCCCTTGCCCACGGGACCTGCCCCCACCCCACCTCTCTGAATCTCCATCTCATCCGCCCCTCTGACTTTGTTCTTTCACGCCTTAACCAGGCTCATGGTGAGTATGCTCCCAGAGGGAAGTGACACAAAGAAAAGGGAGGGGGGCAGAAGGAGGGAATCCCGCTGACATCACTGCTCATTAGCATATGTGACCTCATCAGGGGGCGGGACAATTTCCCCAGGTGTCTAGGGGGAGGACTTGTGGGGGGGGGGTGGTATTTAAAGGGAAAAGCTGACAGTGCTGCTGAGTGAGGGAGCGGGTGCTGCAAGCTGCTGGGCTGCATTTGCACGCACACACGCGCATGTACACGGACCCCGATACCGACATGGACATGGATACAGAAAACACAGCACTTTGTCCCTCCGACAGCTGCCAGGCCTCCCCATCAGGGACACCTACACCAGGTGAGGGCTAACGTAGCAGGTGCCGGCTGCAACCACGGGGGTGGGAGCTGAAGCTTTGGTGGTCAGAACTAGAGGTTCAATCAGCAAGAGGGGAAAGGCAAGTCAGGAAGTAATGAAGACCCTTGTTCATATAAGGGCTGGGCTAGGGTGGAGGAGGAGAAAAGCTGCCCAAATGCCCCCTCCCCCATCACTCCCAGGGCTTTGGGGTTTTGCTTGAGAAAGCAATATGTGGTGCTCAGGTCAGCCTCATTCCCTATAGTCTGGGACAGACTGGGGGCAAGGGTGAAAGGGAAGGGGAAGCCCACAAGCCTGGGAATCACGGGCAGGGGGCTACCATGGGGACCTGTTGTAAGGGTTTCTTCTGGCTCCTAAAGGACCTGGCTGTCAGCCAAGTATTGATCCTGGGCTATTTCCAGCCTTTCTCCATCCCCCTTTGTTATGTCTGTTGTTCCTCCTCCAGTTACCCTGACCCATGCATTGTCACCCTCCCTCTCACTCATACTCTCTCTCTCCCCACCTCTACCTCTCCATGAACGCAGTATTCTCTCCCACTCACAGGGACAACCAGGGATGCAGGATTCTCGCACACAGCCATGCACTGGGGGATGCTCACCTACAGGGCACGGGAAGAAGCAGCGCGCGCGCACACACACACACACACACACACACACCCACAGAGACCACACAAGGAAGAAGTCTCACACACACACACACACACGTCCACAACCCAAACACACATCACCTCACAGAGCCCTTGAAACAGACTCCCTACAAAGTTTTTGACTCTGCTTATATCTACTCCCCAGAATCTTCAGCAGCTTCAGTTTCTCATACCTTCTGCCCTCCTCAGTGTGGGCATTACCAGTGCAGGAAGAAGTAGGATTACCAGTAGGAGGCAGGCCCCTTAATGGAAGGATGGACAGCCTCCTCCAGCCCCCCTGGGCCAGAGGTCAAGTCTGGGAATATGCCTATGTCAGTTTGAAGTGTGAGTGGGTATGTGACCTGCACACAGGTACCTCTCCTGTATGGGGTAATTTTGAGCAGATGTAGCTAGGACTACAATGGGGAAGTCATCACGTCACATCCTTGAAGGCTTACCAGTCCAAGCTTCTAGGAGACTTTAGTGTAAAAGGTTGAGCCAAAGATTCTGTTGTTTAGGGTCATGGTCATCAACTGGGTGTGGCTGGCCTCCAAAGCTGAAGCAGCTTGGGTTAGCTCTCTGCAGATGTCTGGACATATACCATTCATGGCTTCCTTTTCTTTGCCTATCCAGAAACAGATGCCACACTTCTGAAGAAGCCAGAGAAACTGTTGGCAGGGTTGGACCAGAGTGGGCCACCCCCTGTCCCTGGGGTCCCCAGACGAAGAGGCAGTATGCCTGTGCCTTACAAGCACCAGCTATGTAGGGCACAGGCTGTAGATGAACTTGACTGGCCGCCTCAGGCCTCATCTTCTGGTTCCTCTGACTCCTTGGGCTCAGGAGAGGCAGCCCCTGCCCAAAAGGATGGCATCTTCAAGGTCATGCTAGTAGGGGAGAGTGGCGTAGGCAAAAGCACCCTTGCAGGCACTTTCGGTGGTCTCCAGGGAGACAGTGCTCATGAGCCGGAGAATGCAGGTATTTGGGAGAGCACGTGGTGGTGGAGGGGACCCTGGGGCCCTATTGAGGGATGAAAGTGCTCATGGCATAAGCAGCCCCTGAAGAATTAAACCTAAGAGAAACTTCTCCGGTGCTTTCTGTGGCAGACTCCCTGGCAGGGGTTCCCTGCTGCTGGGATCTGAGGTGTTTATGGTTACCAGTTTTCACAAGTGTTGGGGAACCTCCTAATGGGTTTTATTCTATTTCCCAACAGAGGACACCTATGAGAGACGAATTATGGTGGATAAGGAGGAAGTAACTTTAGTTGTTTATGACATCTGGGAACAGGTGAGGATTAAGATGTGGCTGAACACAGGTGAAGTTGGGAGAAAACTGAGGAAGGGCAGTCTGGCTGAAGGCTGGTGGGACTGCAGACCCTGGTGTAAATGTGTACAATTCATTTGTACTATCTCAGACAACAAGGTCCACACCAATGTGTATACCAGGCCCCTGGCCATAAGAGCTACTACTTTTCCAGGATCTTCTGAGGAAAGTTAAGCAATGGCACACCTGTAATTCCAGGGACTCAGGAGGCTGAGACAGGAGGATTGTGTTTAAATCCACCTTCAGCAAAAGCAAGGTGCTAAGCAACTCAGTGAGACCCTGTCTCTAAATAAAATATACAAAAAGGCTGGGCTTGTGGCTCCCTAGGTTCAAAAAAAAAAAAAAAAAAGGACATTAAATTTAGGATCTGAATTTGACAAACTGTAGCTTCAAGCCAGGCTAGACAACCCAGAAGTTGATTCCATCCATAAATTTTCCAGCCTAAAAGAGTCTGATATGACAGGACAAGTGCTCAGGGTGCTGGAGTATCAAAAAGGGAAAAAAGGCAGGGTGGGGGTACTCAATGTTTGAACATAAGGTTATTAGGTAGAAATGAGAGGCCAAATAACATAAATTTAAATAGCATTTGTTTCTGAATCAAGAGCTTAAGCATAAGAATGTAGAAAGGCTACCCTGGTCTAGGATCCTCCAATTTCCCCTAAACAGGGGTCACATTACTAACCTCAAACACACTCTGGGAATGATGTCATTAACTAGCTCAGCTGTCCTAAGCAGGTGGTTTCTCTCACACAGTGGGATTCCTCATCTTTGAGATGTAGGTGCTCGACTGGGTCAACTCTGTCTTCAGCCCTAACTCTCTACCAATCTCTGACGTCTCCAGGGAGATGCTGGGGGGTGGCTGCGGGACCACTGCCTTCAGACGGGGGACGCCTTTCTCATCGTCTTCTCAGTCACGGATAGACGAAGCTTCTCCAAAGTTCCAGAGACCTTACTTCGGCTCCGAGCTGGGAGGCCCCATCACGACCTACCTGTCATCCTGGTTGGAAACAAGAGTGACCTGGCCCGCTCCAGGGAGGTATCACTGGAGGGTGTGTATTCTGAACCGATTCTATACTTGCCATTTCAGGGGACAGCTCTAGCTTCTGTATCACCTCTTCTCCCTGAGGCCTTTTTTTTTTTTTAAGTTGTAGGTGGACACAATATCTTTATTATTTTTATGTGATGCTGAGGATCGAACCCAGTGCCTCACACGTGCGAGGGCAGGTGCAGCCCTCCCGGAGGCCTTTCTAAAACCTTCACAGGCCCACGAATTCACCAGCAGTTAGCTCCAGGTTAAGGACAGAGCCCCAATATTCCTCTTCTAGGGCCCTAAGAATCCCTTCTGTTCTTCAATCGCCTTAGCCTCTCCAAGGCCCCTCGGCCCCTCCCTCGCACCTCCACGGTCCCACCCTAGGATCCCAGCCTAGTTTTCGAGTTGTGTTGCAATTCATAGTCCCAAACCCTTTCCACTGCAAACTCTGGGCCCAGGGCGGCCCAGCGGGTGCCTAAGCCGACTCCTTCCCACAGAGGGGCGCCACCTGGCCGGAACGCTGAGCTGCAAGCACATCGAGACGTCGGCAGCGCTTCACCATAACACGCGGGAGCTCTTCGAGGGCGCCGTACGCCAGATCCGGCTGCGGAGGGGCCACGGTCGCACAGGAGGCCGGCGGCACGAGTCGGGCAGCCCTGAAGGCCCCGCGCCGTCTGCGCGCCGCGAGAGCCTCACCAAGAAGGCCAAGCGCTTCCTGGCCAACCTAGTGCCGCGCAACGCTAAGTTCTTCAAGCAGCGGTCCAGGTCATGTCACGACCTTTCTGTGCTCTGAGCCAAGGTCTCCACAGCCGCTGCGGTCGCCATGGCCACGGCGCCCTCCGCTCGCCCCCTCGCCCCGCCCCCGTCCGGCTTCCTTTGTGGAAGCCGTCTAGGAAACCAAAAATTCCCAGGATGCCCTGGTGTGACCACGGGGGAAGGGCCGGTGGGCGTCATCTCCACCCAGCTGCAGGTACCGTGCGTTCGCGGGGCAGCTCGCCTTCTAGCGCCGGACGCAGACCACGAGCCGAAGGACTCTCCCGCTACGGCCGCGGGCGGGGCGGGTTTGGGAGGGTCAAGAAAGAAAACAGTCCTGCAAGGTATTTTGCTTTTATTAAGTCGCGCGTGGCCACCTCTTCTGTAGAGATTCTAGACAAGAGAACTGGAAAAGTGTTTTGTAGACTCCTAGACGGAGTTGGACCTCCTTTGTATGCTGAACATGCTTCACCTTTAAGAGTCTTAAAGACTGGAAGAGGCCCTTTTCTAGAGACTTCCGAAAAAATGTTCTGGCTTTTATCTGCCATACTGGTGCACATTGCCCTTAAGAAGTTCTTAAAGGCAAGGGCCTGGAAGTGCTATTCTCGATAGTTGATTCGGTGATTTACCATTGCCACCGAGGCACTTCACCTTTAAGATTCTTAAAGGTAAAGTGTGGACAGATTTTCTTCTGCCTTCAGATCCCGGAATGAAAAAGCTGTGGCAACCCCTTTGGCCAGCCTGGCCGAGGAGGCACTAGAAAAAGGCCACCCTTTCCCTTTTCAATAAAGGAATTTTGTATTGCATCCGTTTACCTTGCTTTCTGTTCTTGGAGCCTCCAGGGAAGGGATGAATGTGGATGGAAACTGCTGTTACAGACAAAAATCAAGGAAGTGCAGCCCGTAATCCCAGCCCCCAGGAGGCTGAGGCAGGAGGACCACAAGTTCGAGGGGAGCCTCTGAAATTTAGCAAGGCCCTAAGCAACTTGGGAGATCCTGTCTTAAAGAATAAAAAGGGCTGGGAATGTATCTCAGTACTCAAGAGAAGCAAGGGAGGCTCTGGAACTAACTTGGACCATTTCAAGAGGCGAAGAGCCCTTACAGATAATTGGGTCCACTTAGATGAGACAACAGGCCTAGAGAGAAACAGGTACCTGCTAAAAGTAATCTAGTAACTTAGTCACACAGTGACCAAGTCTCCACACTCTGGGCCTCCATATCTTTATCCCACCCTTTACCTGTAGGAAGCTGGCTGGAAGCTATGTTCAGCTACCACAGATACTGAGCTTTTGCTTGGACTTGTTCAAGATGGGGTCCACATCCACGAGTAATACCCATCAGCTGGGGCATGGTGGGGTCTTCCAGAACCTCTTCTGGCAGTGCCCCACATTCTCAGCTGTCACCTGCATAGCCTGTGTGAGTACTGAAGCTGTCACTGCCTCCTCTGGGGACACCCACGCCTGCTGCTGCCTGAACCATGAGTTTGAACAAAAGGAGCAGAGGCAGCAGCTCTCCTCACCCCTAGAATATAATAAATACAGCTACCTGAGTACCTGAGAGCCTGGCCTCCACCCTAAGTGCAGCCTCCTAGAACTTGGTGAAAAGAGTGATGAGATGTATTTTGGGTCCTTGCAAGCTGAGGAACCAAGGAGGACCAGTGCAGAATGATTGGTTATGAGATGATAATATGAATAATGGCACTGTCCTTAGAGAAATAAGACATATATATAAGCCTACAACCTATTTTTATAGTGGAAGAAACAGAGTGTAAGTAACTTGCCTGAGAGCACCCAGTAAGTAATAGAGCTGGGATTCCACTGTCTGCTTAATACTTAATGGTGATTTTATCCAGCTTGGCATGAAACTCCTTTTCCAGTAAGGATGCATGGAAGAGGTGGAAGTATCACAGAAGAGATTCAGGAACATAATGGGTAGGACCATGTGCAGTGGCTGTGATAAAAGGGTCAGAGAAATGACATGTCTATGAGTGTAGTAAGCAAGCTCTAAACCCTGGGGACCATGAAAAGACGCAGTTCAAATTCTAAAACAGGAAAACACATGGGGACAATAAGCAACCAGATGGTTGTACAGTTGGGTTGAAACCTCAGGGACATGAAGAGGAGGGGTATAAAAGAAAATGAAAAAGGTTTTGAGCCTCACAACAAAGGACCTTAAATGTCAGGCAAATGCATTCCTACCCAACTCTAGAGGCAGTGAGATCACTAGAGGTCTTTGTGAAATGACATGATCAGGATGGTCTCCCAAGCTGGAAGAGTTGTGCATGGATTGGAGCAGCAAGGCCTGTGCAGCTGAGATTCAGGGCCAGTAACACATTGGAGATAATGAAGGACCATCCCAATGGGGATGGCATTAGAAAAGAAAGGAGGCATGGGTTTGATAAAACTTATTAGATTTGGCAACAGTATGGATGAGTATAGGGGCTGGGGATGTGAATGAGCATAAAGAGAGGGACAAGCTGCAGGTGGTAGGGGATATAGAAAAGAACTACGAGTTGAGAGCAGAGAGTTAGGGATAGGGTGAGTGAGTTCCATATTGGAGACACAGAGTTTGAGATGTTAGAACATCCATATGGAGAATTTCAGACACTCCCTGAACAGCAGAGTCTGAAATTCAGAACAATTTGGGTCAAGTGACAGATATGAGGATAATCATCATAAAAATGGAAGTGGAAGAGCCAGAAGAAAGGATGAGATACAGGGCTTGCTTTGGTGTATGTATGACCTTTGAAGTCACACAGGAGCCCATGCTTGGCTGTTGTCCTAAAATTATTTGAACAAGAAGCCCTGCGTTTCATTTTGCATGAAACAAGTTATACTAAGGAGACCTACAAGTTATACTAAGGAGATACTAAAGGTGAGAGTATGGTACTGGCCAAGAGCCTTAGCCCCAGACCAGGGATGATTCTTGTAAAATGGTACAATCTAATATTTTGTGTAGTCATGCATTTGTCTGAGAACAGAGTTCATGAATTTCATCAGATATACAAAAGTGTCTTGAGACCCAACAAATTACAAACTATGGATTATACTGATTGCCCCTCGGAAGGAGGACTGGGTGAGTAGAAGACAGGTAGCAGGTGGGAGTTTACTTTTCATCATAGGAGGGTTGGGGTTGTAACTCAATAGTAGAGTGCTTACCTAGCATTCTTAAGGTCCTGGGTTCAATCCTTAACACCACTAAAAAATAAAAACAGAATGACATATTCATTTCATGCCCTTTTTCTACATTTTCAATTTTCAACTATGGCATTTAATTAATTAATTAATTAATTTTTTAAAATTTATTTTTATGCGGTGCTGAGGATCGAACCCAGTGCCTCACACGTGCAGGGCAAGTGCTTTACCACTGAGCTACAGCCCGAGCCCAACTATGGCATTTATTACCTGTTCTAAAACCAAATAAAGTATCTCCTGGGGATAGATAAGGAGAGGAAGCATCTGTGAAAGAGGTAGAGGAGGAACTCAGGCTGAGTATATTGTGGCTACTGTAGAAGTGGGGCGGGCAACAGAGGGGCAGGTTTCTAACAGAGTATCCCCAATGGTTAAATGAGTCAAGGTAGGAGGATGAAGAACAAGAAAGGCCCATTGCTTTTCATGTGGCAGAAGCTTAAAACGTATATCATCTGTTGAAGATGACAGCAGGATCTACCCCATGAGGGGAGCCACACACCATAAACTTCCCTCCCTCCAACTCAGCCCATCCCATCAGCCTGACCCATCTGTGTGTTCCCTCCAGACGCCTACAGGGAAGAGCTCAGAACAGACTGAAGCTGAAGCAGGGCTCCTGCTAGACTTGGGAGAAATAGGGTCTTCTTTGAGAGCCAAGTCACTCCTTGCCCTCCCTCTGATCAAGGAAAAGTACAGCCATTGATCTGGGCTGGGATGAGAGTTCAGCAAAAGAGCCCTGGGGCCTGAGCTGCCTGTGCTGGTAAGGTTCCCTCTGCTCCTCTTAACCACTGTAATTATCTAAAGGTCTATGTTCCCTTACCATCCCCTACTATTCCAGCTCCTCTTTGCCCACAAAACCTCCTCATTGCCTAGAGCATAGACTCTTCTCTCCTGAGGGGCCAAAGGAGTGGGCCCTTCTAGTTATTCCTTTAGGCCCTATTACATCTAACCCTCTTTAGAGAGACTGGAGTAGGGGCTTCCCTCTTCCAAAAGGGTGCCAGATCATGGATGGAAGTCCTCACATCTTTTTATTAATGTAACAGGTTGGTGGCTTTTTTTGGGAGGCGGTTGGCGGGGTGGTCCTGGGGATTTAACTCGAGTGCTTTACTACTGAGCAACATCCTCAGCCTTTTTCATTTTTATTTGAGTCAGGGTCTCACTCAGTTGCTTAGGGCCTAGCAGTTGCTGAGGCTGGCTTTAAACTTGCAATCCTCCTGTCTCAGCCTCCTGGGTCACTGAGATTACAGGTGTGTGCCTCTACACCCGGCTCCCAATCTTAACAGTTTTTTAAAAATATTTTTTAGTTGTAGATAGACACAATATTTTTATTTTTTTATATGGTGCTGAGGATCAAACCCAGTGTCTCACACGTGTGAGGCAGGTGCTCTACCACTGAGCCACAGCCCCAGCCTCCCATCTTAACAGTTTTGATCTATGCCAATATAAGTAAATTTTCCTGAACACATTATCTTTTATACACAAATACTTGAAGTTGTTCCCCTCAACTTCTAAACATAAACAACATACCAAATATTCTCCTGGGAACCATGGGGTAGACAAATCCATTTATGACATTATCTTTGCCCCTTAAATAGCTTACAGTTAAGCTGGGGAAATGGACAAGGTGGTGATGATGCTAAAACAGCAATCAATTAGACCCCATTCTAACTAACTGTAGGCTACCATCAGGTGCTCCAGGAATTCTGAATGGAAGAAAAAATACACATGGGAGACTTGTATCTTAGGATCTAGGCCTTGAAGGACATGGAGGCTTTAGATAAATGGGGGAAAATAGGGAAAACATTCCTTGCAGTGAAAATACATGAGTAAATGCATGGAAGAGAAATGGTGGGCAGCCCAATACATACATAATGAGGAAAAGACCCTCCCTGTAATATAAGATAGTATAATTTGGGTGAATGGTGGAACAAAGTTGTCTAGGGACCCCAAAACCAGACAAAAGCATTCTGCTTTTTCTCATCTTGACTTTGATGGTTTTATGACATCCCCAAGATGCCTTTTCATCTATCTGAATAATGATGAAAGCTTCCACAGCTTGACTTTATAAACTCAAGCTATGGATGTGAATTCAGTGGAGACTTGCATTCAGGATGTTTCTTAGATGGGGCCAATTTATGGGAATTAAGTCACTTTAAGTCTCTTTCCTTTTCTGAACCTCAGCTATGCTATCCCAACTACAAAAAAAAGATAATGAAGTACCTGTCTTGTAGGATATTTGTGAGAATAAAGGGCAAAGATCTTTGTCAAGTGGTATAGTGATGAACAGTGGAAGCAATGTCTTTTGCAACCTATGTTCTGGCCCTGTACTTAGACACTCAAGCACTTTAGTAAAGTTATAGTTCAGCACCAGTCTGCAGATACAGTTGCTAAGTAGTGGTCCACAAGGTCCAACAGACCTCCCATGGGACTCACAGGTAACCCATTAACAGAGGTGGTCATTTGGAGGACTGGGAGGAAGATTGGCAACTGAAGCCGCAATGAGAATATTATTCTACATAATTTCCATTGTGTTGTTCAAATTCTAACTTTTCTTTAAACAGAGGACCTGTACTTATTTAAAACATTTATTCAGAAAGGAAATTGCCAGGGTAGGGCTAGAGAAGGAAGACCAACAAAGACAGGTGCTAGAATTCTTAAGATGTTAGGCAGGCCCTAAACAATGGGCTGTAACACAGATTGCTCTGGGATTTTTCCTCCTTGCCCAAAGAAAAGGGTAGTAAGTACTTTGAAGTTACCTGGTGAGGCTCACCTTGAATTTTCTAAACCATCTTGTTATAATCTGACTATATGGATGGATCCTCAAGGATGCAGGGAGATTGGGCTTGTTGGGATTCATTTTCCTGAAAATTAGGCTGGTTGAATTTTGACACAGGACCCTGTGAGCCTGGGAATGTAACTCAGGAAAGATTAAGATTCATTTACATCATTGCCCCATCCTTGCTTCTCCCCCTGTAAGCCTTGAGAATTCTCTAAAATTGGGGAGGAGAATGAATTCAGGCAGGAAGTCAAGTGAGTAGCACCCAGAGAAATGGTAATAATGACGACATCAAAAAGCTAACAGTTCTAAGCTCTTCGTACTTAGCATCTCATTTAATCTCCACAACATTCCTGAGATAGGTACTATTTTCATTTTCTTTTTATAGATGAAGAATATGAGCTAGATAAGTCCCCAAGCTTATTCAGCTAATTTGTGACAAGAGGGAGCTGAACCCCATAGGTGGCTTGAGTGACCATTCTGCTACAGAGTGAAAATACCCTAGCTTGCTTTCAGCTAGAGTTAAAAGGAGGCAGCTAATTCTCAGCAACCCTCATTCTAAACAAGTAGGTCTCCTGATACATAAAAACTGACTGAAGTTCTTATCCTTTCTGGAACATTGGCAATAGTATGGCAAGTCTCTAATTTCCAAGGTCATTGTTTTCCCTCTGTACAACCCAGTGCTGACTGGCTCCTTTCCAGTCTTCAGGCACCTCATCCATCTACCCATTGCTCTCAAAAATAACTGCCTAATGGCTCTCCAGTAACTTCAGCCAACTCTTAAGGGCTCTTGAGAACAGATCATCTGGAGCAGCTAACAGAACTCGTCCAACTTTCTAAAGTGGTCTTTGATCAGATCTTTCCTTGCTTTTACTTTCCTGCATGATTTAAGTTGATTGGTCTGCTTCACTTCACATTCAGAGTTCTTTCAACCAGGAGCAAACCTTGATAATGCATACTAGTTTTGGATATAGAGTACAAAGTTGGGAGGAAAGAGAAAGAATATCTGAGACTAGAAAATTCCGTCTCTCAAACCAAAATTCCTCTCCTTTATCCAGCTCATGACTATTGCCTTCACCTGGTTGCCATGGAAACATCAGTTGCTGGTGGATGGTATGCAGCACTTCAGACAAAAAGTATCACAGGCTACCATGGTAACACCAAAAAGAGTAGATCTGCATCCTCTCTCCTAGAGGAGTAAGAAAGGAATAGATGAAGCTGCTGGGGAAAGCAGGCTAGAAGGGACAAACTTTGGAAAGCCTGGATCTGACTTTGATAGAGAGGGAATTAATTCAACAGACAATTTAATATGTGCAAGGCAAATCAATAATGAAAGACTTGTATGGTGGCTTCATCATGCTATAACTATCTAGTAAAAGAGTTTGCAAAGAACTGTAAATAAAGGCAGAATGAGACCCACAATAGGACAAGGAATAATGAAAAGGGAGATCAGATCCAACTAAGGAAGTTTCAGGGTCCTACAGGATAGGATTTTGACCAGAAATGGAGAAGAAAGAACAAGATGAGCAAAGACACAAAGGAAGAAAAAATTCAGGGTCAGGCTGGGTTATAGGTCAGTGGTAGAGGGCCTGCCTAGCATGCCTGAGGCCCTGAATTTGGACCCCAGGAAAATAAAAAATAAATATTCCAGCATCCCCCCAAGAGCATAGATACAGAAAAAGGAAAAATGATACTTGCCCACTGACTCCAAGACTTGGCTTCTTCCATAGTAATGCTGAACAGTGGGTAAGGTTAAGGAGGAGGAGGGTCAAGAGACCTAAAGCCACGCCACTTGGATTGGAAACTTGAACTTGCCAACTGTGAGATTGTGCAGCAAGTTACTTAATCTCTTTGGGTATCAGTTTCCTTGTTTACAAAGTAGACAATAATAACAACTAACCCTAGGTAGTTATTGTGAGGATTAAATGATTTAGTAGATATAAGCTATTAGTATCATGCCTAACCCACAACAAATCCTGCATAAATGTTAACAATTATATAACACATTCTACTTTATTTTCAGAGCCACAAGAGACTTTTTCATTGTCCAAGTATTACTCCCTGATTCTCACAGACCTTCTCCACAGGAAAGAGGGACTGTGGTATAATTTCTTTCAGGTGTTTAACTCACTTCCCTTCATTGTTTAAGTGACAAAACCAAAGGTTTACAAGTCAAGCCCCCTGAAAGCCAGAAATGGTAGCTCACATCTAAGGGCTGTTGGACCCAAGAATCCAGAATGACAAGAACCCAAGTTTAAAGAATAGGGAGGAAATGGTATTGCCTTACAGAAGACAGAAGCATAGGCTATATAAACCAAAAATCAGGTGAAAATTTCATTTATAATTGGCACTGGTAGAAGCCAGACATGGTGGTGCACTTCTGTAATTCTGACTACGTGGGAGGCTAAGGCAGGAGGATCACAAGTTTGATGCCAGCCTAGCCAACTCAGCAAGGCCCTGTTAAAACTTTTTTTTTTGTACTGGAGATTGAACCCAGGGGTGTTTAACCACTAAGCCACATCCCCAGCCCTTTTTATATTTGAGACAGGGTCTCACTTTGGGCCTTTGTTTCTTTGGGCCTCGCTAAGTTCAAAGACTGGCTTTGAACTTGCTGCAGTTCTCTTGTCTCAGCCTCTCAAGTCACTGGGATTACAGGCATGCACCACTGTACCTGGCTCAAAATTAAAAAATTTTAAAAGGGCAGAGATGTAGCTTAGTGTTAGAGCACTTGCCTAGTAAAAGTGTGAAGCCCTGGGTTCAATCCCTGGTTCTGCAAAAAAAAAAAAGAAAAAAGTGAGAACTGGGGAGAAATTCTACCTCTGCTGATAAAGGATCTGGGTCATAGTTTTACCTCTCTACCCACCCATGCTCAGGTGGGAGAGTTGGAGGGAGATTTCTTTCATGTTAGGCTGGGCACAAGGCTGTTCACTGTCCCCTTCTCTCCCCTCTATAACTACCCACTATAGAGGGATGAGTTAACAAGATGATACTGAGTCATACATAATGACACCAGCTATCATCCATGAAATGCCATCACCTTACATAGTGTAAAACTAGAGCAGTTGTCTTAGATGTTTCCTTATTTCCACCACTGTCTTCCTCTTAGCAAGAGACTATATGAAGAACTAAGAGCAGGGAGCAAGGAGAAATTGAGGTAGAAGGACCAAAGTAGCTAGGATGAGAACATAAGGAAACCAAGCAAAAGTGGAGGCTCATCTGAGAAGGTGGGCACGGAGGCAAGACTTGTGGGTCTAATATTCTGGAGGAGTCTAAGCAAGCACAAGGAGACCCAGTTCACAGCATCAGGATAACAATAATGGCCCACATTGCACTTCTCAAGATGCATTAGCAACTAAATCAATACCTATAGGGGGACTGGGCCATAGCCAGCAGTTCCTACCTAAAAATAGTGCATCTTCCTTCCCTTCCTCCAGGTCAATAGAGTAAACCAGGAAAGGACCGGGAAGGAGTGGGGCAGTAGCAAAGAACAGGGGCAGGTGAGACTGCTGACCAGCAAGAATCAGGAACTAGTCCACAGTCCCACTGGCTACCTGACAAGCAAGCCTCCAGTGCTTAGTGATTTAGTATAGAAAGCAACCTGAGAGTCTAACATCTCTACACAACATTACCCCACTTAGAAAGAAGTCTGAGAGCTGACAAATTAAAACCTATCTGCAATTATCCATATTTTTAGCATAATAAAGTCTTAACATTCAGTTGCCATAGAGATCAGTAAAGAATGAAGGAACCCCACAGAGCCCTGCCCATGAATTCAGGCCTTCTCCTTTGGTTGGTTCCTAGGCTAGTAAGCTAGCTAGGTTCTTTCCCACCCCTTGTTATACAGAGCAGGCAGGGGAAGGTGTAACTCCCCTTAGGCAGGGCTATTCCTGAAATACTCTGCTCTCTGGAAATTCACCAGTCCCAAGCCTGTTCTCAAGCAACAAGGATGAAAAGCAAGGATTCAGAGAACTGGCCAAAAAAATAATAGATGAAGTCAGGTCAGGGAAGCCCTGATATAATATAATGTCCAGATCCTTTTAGATAGTGGATTGGGATACAGAAGGTGAAAGGTAGGCACAAAACCTACAGGGTAAAACTGTGAGCTTAAGAGACTTTTTTGGTACTTAAGCTCCTCAAGATCACAAAACACCTCAAAGAAAGGTATAGAATGTGCTACTGTCACACTGCCATCTGGTGGAAAGACAAGCTTTGTCCTTAGGCACAGACAGGAGTCAAGTCTATTCAGAGGGCAGGCAGGTATGAAGACACTTGAGGTGATGAAGCCCTGGCAAGGTAGTACACGCCTGTAATCCCAGTGACTTGGGAGACTGACGCAGGAGTTTCAGAAGTTCAAGGCCAGCCTCCACAACTTAGTGAGACCCTGTCTCAAAAAATAAAAAGGGCTGGGGATGTGACACAGTGGTAAAATAAACCCTTGATTCAATACCTAGTACCTGCCCCCACCACACAAAAAGATGACAATAGATGGAGACCATGGCTAAGAATGGAAGGTAGATACAGATGGGGAATTCCACCAGATGTGAGCCTTCTATTTTTTTCCATAAAGGTCAAATACAATAAAGAAAAGGCCCTGGTATTATAAATGTTTTATATATCTCCCTGGAACCATCATGGTTTTGGCTCCGAAGTTTTAACATCAGAACAACACACCAACTGAGACCGCATGGACAGCAACAGCCACAACAGGGAGATTGGCTTTTATATAAAGTTTATATGTGTGTGTATATGTATGTGTGTGTGTGTGTGTGTGTGTGTGTGTATATATATATATATATATTTATTTATTTATATAATTTTTTCTTTTATATGTACATAGACACAAGGATATAAAATCAAGTGAGAAGGGCTCACCCATACTCAGGTAGGGGATGGGAGTGGCTTTAACCACCAAGGTTGAAACATCAGTAGAGGCACATAGGAAGTGGTGGAAAATAGCAGCCTCCCCTCCATCCTCACACCCTAGGCCAAAGGGAGGACTTGAGAAGAAGGACAAGTGTACAAAGGAAGATGGGAAGGTATCCCACCTTTTACTTAAACTCCTGAAAGCCCCTGAGGCTTCATCCCAATTGCCTGGCAGGATAGATCACTACTGTGCCTCCCAATAAGATGATGAGCCTACAGTAGTAGTTCTGGCTTCAAGCTATAATTAAGCTGAGGCCTGAGCCAGGTGTCATAATGTACATGTCCATATCCATGCTATCTGCCAGGGTCCTTAAAGCAAAAGTCCAGCACCTTCAAAGTGCACCCCGTAACTCCAATGTCCTCTATATTCAGAGATCCTGTGATAGTTTATAGGGTAAAAATATAGGAAGAGAGGCTAGGTCCTATAGTTAATGCCCTATGGCCTTCCCAATGGAGGAAGAATCATTCAGAAGTGATGGGAAAGGGAAAGAAGGTGGTCTTGGGAAAAGATACACAAAGACAAAAGTGTTCAATGCAGGTGTAGATTGTTCTCTTCAACTGGGGGCTTTGCTCAGCAAAGTCCATTCCCAGTGGGGCATGGGCAGGAGCTCTTCTTGTTGTTTTTTTTTTTTTTTTCCTTCTTCTTCTTCTTGTCTTAAGAGTGGCCCCAAGTTCCTCCGGAATCAATGTCCATGGCCTCAGGATGGCTTGGTCCACAAATGGAAGACAGGGCAGTAGAAGAAGAGAGTGGCAGGACCCAGAGGGTACAGAGAGGTAGTGCGCTGTGCCACTGATTTACCTGTGACAAGGAAAAGAGGTAAATGAGAAGCCCAAAGAAAAGAGAATAACCAAACAATAAAATGAGCTAAGCCTTGAGACTCACATGGTTTGGGGGGTAAAGAGGCTGGAAAGCTGGAAGCACTGGGATGCAATTGCCTGGGAGGCAAGGTTCAAAGCCGGACTCAGAGCTAAAACAAAGACATGTAGAGTGATTTGAGTGAGCAAAAAGCATTCCTTTCTTCCAAGCACCAACCCTTCATTCCCTTTTCCAAGCCTATGTCTACCAGTCAGAGCTGCTGGGTTCAGGGCCCCCAAAGGAACTGCTCCATTCAGTTGTAAGGCAGCAGCTTGGGCAGCAGCAGCAGCAGCAGCAGCAGCAGCTGTGGTTGGCACCTGGATTCTAGAGCCTAAAAGAAGAAGAGGTGGGATTAAGTACCAATCCTTGATCTAAAATTCAACCCTGTGTTCTCCACCCAGCAGATACTCTACCTTCTGCCAGTTTGGCCACAAGCTGCAAACGTCCACCTGCTGATCCCAGATCCAGCTCTTGATCCCCATCAGGAAAAGTGATGTCTGTGCCACCATCCAGCCGCTCAGTCACTTGGCCAACCCTCATAGGTCGACCAGCAAGTTCAAAACCATTCAACTGTTCCAGGGCCCGCCGGGCACACTCAGAGTCAGAGAACTACAAGAAACCCAGGCTGTGTCAGTCAACTCCTGGTCAGACATGTTCTCAAAGCCCCAGTTAACATTCCCTGGTCCCGCTATCACAGGAAAGTTACATATTCACTATAGTACAAAATTTTCTTTCCCAGGGAATGTAACCTAAGATCCCCACTGCCTCAAAATTATCGTCTGAAAAAGACTGAGTGGCAACCACTTTTCAATATTCCAGCTCCATTAAGATATCTACCAATGCAAAAAGTATATCACCTGTAAGGAATCTAGCCTGACAGGCTGTTTTACAAATGGGCATGTAAAATGGAAGTAAAGTCTTCTCAGTTTTTCATTCATCCCTCAGGCTTAGTAAGTTTTAGTTCTCAATCAAGTACTAGGAATCCGGGACTCCAGAGCCCAGACTCTGGGACTCCAGAGCCCAAGCCTAGGAAGAAACACACTGTGGTATTGAGAGCAGACAGTATCCTCATCCCTACCCAATGCTGGCAATTAAATGATGGGCAGACAGTCTCTGCTCTTTAGTCCTTTTTTATCAGCCGCACCCGCAGTACCCAGTTTGAAGATTCCCAGTTGGCTGTTGGTATGTCAAGGCTGTTGACCAAAAGGCAGCAACAGAAGCCTTTCCATGTGTGAGTCACACAGAATTAGAAATGGTTACTTGCCACTAAGGAATCATCAACACCACAGCTGGCTTTGTTTACTCTGGTATTCCTTGCTGTAGGGCCTGGCATGTGGTACTGACAGTACCTAGGTGGTGGTGTAGGTGGCTTGCTTTTACTGGATACTTCTAAGGTGAGCAATTCCCATGACAGAACACAACCTACTGCTCTCTGCCCTGTAGGCAACTGTGAGGGCATACACTGTCTGGATTAAGCCCAGAAAATATCAGTTTCTATCCAATTTTGTGGCTGGCAGCCAGTTCTCAAACTGGAGTCACAAGAGGCTGGAAGAACCAGTTATAGGAAGTAGAAACAATTTTGTTGGGAGAGTCAGGAAAAGGCTGCCCATTACTAGGGCAGCCTCACTATTCTTCCTACAGTGTTGTTCCTATAGTGGTGTTGTTCTCAATGGAGAAACTGCTTCAAATGAGGTAGTGCCAGGGGGAAGTATTAACTTCCTATTCCCATCCTTATCATAAGAATGCACTGATTCTATAAATCTGTCTTTAAACACCCATGCCTAACCTCCCTCATGCCCCCAACCTTTTAGCTGCAGCCTGGAAACATTACTATTACCCAAAGAGCAAGATGCAGCACCAGGGAAGCTGGTTGAAATTCCTGGACACCCCCATACCAAGGCCACTGACACAGTGTAGGAGCAAAGCCAAGATCTCAAGCAATGCACTCATCTCAAGGGGCAGAAGGCTAGTCCAAGCTTCAGGCACCAGGATTTATGGGTCACTTAGTTCCTAAAGGAGGAGGATGAAGCTAAGCTGCAAAATCAGACAAGTGGAAAAACCCAAAGAAAAATTTAAAAACTAGAAGACAAGAGACTCACCGTAATAAAACCATAACCTTTAGAACGGCCTGTATCTGAGTCTTTCATCAGGATAATATTGTCAATCTGCAGAGGAACAGGAAGTAATTATTAATTATATTTTCAGTAGCCCACAATCTTTCATCTCTCTTACTCAAATTATTCTAAATACCTCTCTCTACTTCCGGATAACAAATTATATCTTCCCAAATCACCTCCTTTTTTTTTTTAGTCATCAATGAACCTTTATTTTATTTATAAGCAATGCTGAGATCGAACCCAGTGCCTCACACATGCTAGACAAGCGCTCTCCCACTGAGCTACAACCCCAGCCCCCCAAACCTTCTTTTAAAATGAGACAAAGGCAGGGTGTGATGGTGTGCACCTGTAATCCCAGTGACTTGGGAGGCTGAGGCAGGAGGATTGTGAGTTCAAGGGCAGCCACAACAACTTAGTCCCTCAGTCACTTAGCAAGAACCTATCTCAAAAAACTTAAAAAGGGTTGAGGGGCTGAGGCTGTGGCTCAGTGGTAGAGCATTTGCCTAGCATGTGTGAGGCACTGGGTTTGATTCTCAGCACCACATATAAAAAATGAATAAAATAAAGGTCCACCAACATCTAAAAAATAAATAAATAAATAGGATTGAGAATACAGACCAGCAGTAAAGTGCCCCTGGGTTCAAACCCCAGTATCAAAAAAGACAAAGGCCATCTTTTTCAAAAACACTTTTTCTAACTAATCTTACTTAATCTGGACCCTCTTATTTGATTTTATTGTGCCTGACTTGGTTTTCTACTGATCACCATGATTAGAGATAGAACCTAACTTTCATGCCATGGACCCATTTGCCAAGGACATATGCAATGAGTTAATCATAATTAGACAGAAGAGCAGTACATGCACCTACTCCACATTTTTCTCCTTCTTTCTTTCTATCTTTTTTTTTTAAGTTGTAGATGGACACAATATCTTTATTTCATTTATTTATTTTATTTTTATGTAGTGCCAAGGATCGAACCCAGGGCCTTGACCATGGGAGGCGAGCACTCTACCACTGAGCCATAACTCCAGCCCCATCCACATTTTTCAATCCCCTTCACAAGTTTTCCTTTCTACTCACCTTGCCAAAAGGCTCAAAGATGCCCCGGAGCATGTCCTCAGTGATATTAAAGTGCAGGGAGCCCACATAGAGGCGCATTGGTCCACCAGTACCCTTCTGCAGATTGTTGGCCATGGCTGCCAATCGGTTTTTCTCAGCCTAAAAAAGCAGAAATACATGATGGGTTGTGTTCCACTTTCCTACCCACCTTTTATTATGTCACCTTCTTAACCTGCTCACCTGTGAGGCCTGTACAATGATAGGTACTCCCAGAAGTCGTTGCCCAGTCAGCCCAATGGCCAGTGGCACAGACTGCATTTCACAGAATTCCACATACGCAATGCCTTTAGAACGACGTGAGTTCCGATCTGAGATGATACGCACATCACGAACCTATCCCGGGACACAAAGAAAATCCTGCTGAGAATAAAGGTAGATAGATAGAAGATAAATTACTCAGAGGAACACTGAGTTGGGAAGGTTACCTTGCCAACAGCAGAAAAAAAGTCCTCCAGGTCTCGAGGCCGGATACGGGCAGCTAATTGCATACAGAAAACTGTGCGGGCATCACGCTCCTCAGGGCTCAGATTATCAATTGGCTGCCTAAAACATAAAACATGTTGAGACTGCTCCTCTCAATCCTTGGTTACTATTCTCCAGTTAACCCTCAAGTAAAACACATTCCTATAGTTTGGCTCTACCAACATTTTATTCATATTTCACAATCCCTAAAAGTGCTCATTATTAACCTACCTGACTGGGCTCTTCTCTTTGAAATGAGGGCTCTTACTATGTCCATACCTACGTCTAGAAACAGAGAAAAACAAAAATAAAACTTTATTCAATGCTGGGTCTTTCATTATGAGAAAACCAGATTCCAGCACCTCATCTCATATATGAACTAGTAATATAGGTTGAGCATATCTAATCTGAAAATTGAGGATTGCAGTCAAAACATAGGCATACTAAAATGCATTAAAGTTACCACCAATCCCATAGTATCTCATTATGTATATGTAAATATTACAAAATTGAAAACAATCCAGGATCCAAAATACTGCTGGTATCAAGCATTTCACCTAGGTGTACTCAACCTGTACCATCCCTCCAGTGACTGTGCAACCTGCCTATCACAGTGGGTGATAAGCACCCTCAGGCAGGATCCACAGTACACTTGTTGTAGCCAGAGTAAGACAGAAGGGTGACATTGTTTAGAAATGGTGATACCCAGTGGGAAGTGGAGGACTCCTATAGCGCACACGATCTTCACGTCGCCGGTCTCGACTTCGCGACTCACTATTATGTCGCCGATCCCAGCTACGGCTGCGGCTGCGGTGATGACGCTGCCGATCTCGACTTCGGCTGCGACTATTTCTCCGTCTATGCCGATCCCGTTCTCGGCTACGACTACAGATAAAAATAACCTCTTCTGAACTTTAACCTATAGCCTTCCATGCTATCTTCCCATTTTAACAATTCCCCAAATCTGGGCTGGGGTTGTGGTTCAGTGGCAGAGCACTTGCCTAGCATCTGTGAGGCACTGGGTTTGATTCTCAGCACCACATATAAATAAATGAATAAGGTCCATCAACATGTTTAGAAAAAAAAAAAAAAAACAATTCTCCAAACCCAACAGTTCCCAAAATCACACACCTGCGCTTTCTATCCCTGATTCTACTATGACTCCGACTCCTCTTCTTCCTGTGAAAGAGCAGAAATTCTTACTACTGAGAAAGTTTTATTATCTTTCCCAAGGAAAAAGAATTAGAATAAGGACAGAGTGAAACAGAAAGCACCAAAAGACCAAAGCCCAGAATATGATCTGGCAGTAGTTCACAGTAACTGCACAACACCAACTTACACAGAGCCCTGATTGCTGTCAGTCATCTGAAGTGGCCAATTTCCCCCCAAAGCCAAGCAAAAGCTGGTGTTTCCAAATCAGGGGTCCTCTTGCTATTTTATTCAAATGAAATATATCGATGCTAGGACTGATCCACAAATCTACACTGGAAAGCGAAGACTAGAAGATCATTAAACCAACTCACCAATGTTCCCATGACCCAGTGGAGCCATTACTAAATGTCAGCAGTCTTAAGAGCCACCGCCTCCCTATTCTGGCCGTTTCTCCAATGGATGCCGTTGTTTCCCTTCCCCAAGTTGCCAACCCGTTTCTTCACCCCACACTCACTTGCTTGTCTCCCCAGTGGTGGTGCTCACACTGGTACCACTGCCACTGTTGCCGGTGTTGCTGGTGGTATTGCTAGGACTGTCCTTTTTAACCTCTTTCCTTTGCTGCTCATCCTGAGGAGTTCGCCAGGAAAATATCACAAGGTACAAGGTGGCAGACACACAGATTCCATTGGGCAAAAAGAACAAAGGTGGACAAGGAAGAAATCAAAAGCTCTCGATTATCTAGCCAGTTTTGGAGCACCTGGATCTCCTAACAAGGGGAATAATAGAGGAAGCAAGGAAACTACCAAAAAGGAAGAGATCAGAATGACAGACTTTGATGTCAAATGTCAGCTACCTAACATCTATTTCACTGACATTATGTCCCAGGAGAGTGAGAAACTGGCGCTGGTCTGAGGTTCACTGACTTTCTACTGTCACTGAGAGTTACCAGCAAAGCACATGATACCACCACCACATTATGTGCCCACCCCTGGCTTTCAGGGTCCTCTCTAAAAGAATGGTCCTTGAGTACAGGTCCCCAGCAAAGATTACGAAAGACTATGCCTTTTAAGAATAGTCACTGAGCATAATAAACAAGCAGGGAAAGAAGATTCACAAAATGTTTCAACCGATGATCCACAACTGCTCTTTATTATTAACCCAATTCCAGGAGTGAGGTGGGGAATATTACCTCCTCTTTTTTATAGGGAGCTTCCAGCATGGCCTCAATCACTATATCAAAGTCATCAGATGCCATCGTGTCAGATCTGAGGAGAAGATATTAAAACATAAAAATCTGATTTATATTTTTCCTTCCCTTCTAGCACCACATTCCTTTCCCCCTCCAAGAAACAGACTTCAGGAATACAGTTCTTTTTCTTAAAAATTTAAAAGGATCTTACCAGCTATTGTTTATCCTACATTTATTTTTACACCCTACAGATCTAAACTAGTTATGCTTTGTGGCTTAGAAACAGTCAAGGGTCTATACCACAATGTTAAGGAAAATAAGTCAAATTCAGAAGGCTAAAGGTCATATATTTTCTCTCATACTGGGGAAAAGGAAAAGAAAGGTAGGGGCGGATCTCTTGAAAATCAAAAGGAGATCTGTAGAAGAAAGGGACCGATGTTTGGTAGGGTGCTGAGGAGTGACACTGGCCAAATTATATTGTTATATTGTGTATCTTGTGCATGTATGAACATGTAACAAATCCTACCAATATGTACCACTAAATATGGGGAAAAAAAGAAATGGTCATGGGTCTAGAAGGAAACTGAATACCCAGGTAGAGACAAAATACAATATAACCCTTATTCTGTGAAGAGAAAACACTGTCAAATGTTTGTTTCATTTTGGGGGTACTGGGGACTAAACCCCAGGGTATTCTACTACTGAGCTATATCCCAAGTCCTATTTTATTTTATTTAAGACAGGGTCTCACTAAATTGTCCAGTCTAGCACTGAACTTATGATCCTTCTGCCTCAGCATCCCAAGCAGCTGGGATTCCAGGCATGTACCACCACACCTAGCGGAAAATATTGGTACTCAAAATTACTATTCACTTTACAAGGGACATTAGGCTTCCATTCTACTGTTCAAAATTCCCACCTGGCTAACTGGCTTAAATTTATAATGTAAAAAGAGACTAATAGGGGCTGTGGCTGTGGCTGTGGCTCAGTGGCAGAGCACTTGCCTAGCACATGTGAGACACTGGGTTCAATCCTTAGCACCACATAAAAATAAAGGCATGTTATCCATCTACAACTATAAAAAGTTTTTAAAAAGATACTAATAAACTTAAATCATAAAAATAGGCACACATTTCCAATAAAAAAGTAAAGGCGCAAGACCAAAAATCAGAAGCAAGACAAGGCAAAACCAGAATGATGCAAATGTGCCTTAAGCTCTTCCGCACATGACCCAAACATCAATAATTAGGGCCTCATCACTAAGCATTTTCAGTGCAACATAAACTAGAGTTTAAGCAAGTCAGAAATATATTATGATTAAGTCAGGCATAATAGCACACACCTATAATGTCAGTGACTAGGGAGGCTGAGGCAGAAGGATCGGCAAGTTCAAGGCAAACCTCAGCAACTCAGGCCCTAAACAGGACTTTGGCTCAAAATAAAAAATTAAAAAATAGATGGGGATATAGCTCAGTGGTAAAGCATCATTTGGTTCAATCCTTAGTACCCACCCCAAAATACATATATGTGCATACGTGTTTGTGTGTGTGTGTGTGTGTATATTTTTTTCTTTCTTTCTTTTTTTTTTTTTTAGTTCAAATCGCTTAACCAATTCCACTTTGAAGCCTTTCTGTCTGGAAGACATGGAAAAAGTGCTCACATCCCCCAAGCTTTCACATCTAGCATCTGTCTTCACTCAGGTTGTTTATCAGAGGTCTTTCAAATCAGAAAAGCAAAGATACCAAACAACATTAATATTAAAAATTATTGCTTTGGAATTATTGGATGAATCTACATGGATGATTCTCAAAATAATGATGCTGAGTAAAAGAAATCAGACCAAAACACTGAATAATTCCATTTATATAAAATTCTAGAAAATTCAGACAAATCTACAGTCACAAAAAGCAGATCAGTGGTTGTGTAGGTACAGGAGCAGGTGAAGAAGGGCTGGGAGGAAAAGATTTTAAGAGGGCATAAGAAAACGTCTGGGAGTAATGTTTTATGGGTGTTTACACATAATAAGACCCAACCAACTGCACATTAATGTCTACAGTTTTACTGTAGACATGTAATTACTTATACATCAATGATACTATAAAAAGAAAACTAACCTGAGGAATTTCTATCAAAATCACTTTCCATATCCACAAAAGCTTTATCTTCCTTAAAGCAGGTAATGCACAATCCAACAGTACTATTCTGATTGCCCTCAAAGCCCATACCCTACATTGATGCTTCAGTATGTGTAATGATTATACCTACCTACCTCATATGAATTGTGATTTCTAGGCACTGTTTTAAGTATATTATAGAGATAAGAATCTTAGAAGAAGATGAAAGAGGATGAAAATCAAACCAAAATCAAATAGGTGTCTAAAACCCAGTGAATTAAACTCTCATAACAGCACCTAATGATTATTTAGCAATCAAAGGTAATATATGCTGCAGATAATATCTGACCCATTCACAGATTTTTTTTTAATGAGATTTTTTTCAACTGTATAAAGTCAAATAGCTCAAATAAAGGGGTTACTTCTTGATTACAGAGGTCTTCTGACTCCAAATCTAACAATTATATCAGGTTACCTCTTTCGTTTGGTTTAAACTTAAAAGAAATAAAAAACAAAACAGCATACTGAAATATTTAGTTTTAAATATAGATCACTGAACATAAATGTTCTGATAGGTTTATCAAAACAGTCCCATTTGTCACACCTTCACAGCTTCTATATCTGTGGCTATACAGTATATGTTTCAAAATATCACAAACTACACTAATGACAACATGTATTATCTGGCCCACTGTGGAAAAATGGGTCTAAAAATAAGTTTTCGACCTTAAAATAATTTTTCAGTTACTTTGCCTGCCAAATCTACAAAATTTTTTTTAATATTTATTTTTAATTGTAGTTGGATACAATACCTTTATTTTATTTATTTATTTTTATGTGGTGCTGAGGATCAAACCCAGGGCCCCCCATGTGCTAGGCGAGCACTATACTACTGAGCCACAACCCCAGCCCCAAATCTATACAAATTTTCTAAGTGTTAAAAACTCTTGGGCTGGGGATGTGGCTCAAGCGGTAGCGTGCTCACCTGGCATGTGTGCGGCCCAGGTTCCATCCTCAGCACCACATACAAACAAAGATGTTGTGTCCGCCAAATACTAAAAAATAAATATTAAAATTCTCCCACTCTCTCTTTAAAAAAAAAAAAAAAAGATTAAAAAAAAAACCTCTTCTTTACAATCCGCTTTTTCCTCTCTAAATTAAATGCTTTTAATTTCAAGAACTGCTATCATTGAGTGGAATCATAAAGCACAGGTAACAAAACATACAAAAACTTTCAGTTAGGGGGCTGGGTGTAATACAATGTGCTTAGAATTTTAGCATGCTGGAGGCCCTGGTTCAATCCCCAGCACCAAAAGAAAAACAAAAACAAACAACAAAAACCCCAGAAACTTCCACCAAAGTTGATAATCCTCTCCAAATGAACTCTATGTATGAAATTTTCATCCTGAAACACATCTAAGTACGGACATATTGTCATGTGCCATATAAAGTTGATTCTGTCAATGGACCATATATAAGACATGGACCATAAGATTATGCTGTTTAATAACAGTAGGGGCTGGGGTTGTGGCTTAGTGGTAGAGTACTTGCCTAGCATGTGTGGGGTACTGGGTTTGATTCTCAGTACCACATGAAATAAATAAAGGTCCATTGACAACTAAAAATATTTTTTAAAAAATAACATAGTAGCCCTCCTAGTTTGTGAAAGTACACTCTGATATTTTAAATGGGAGGAAATTGCCTAATAACACATTTCTCAGAACATACCCCATTGTTAGGCAATGTATGACTGTAGAACATGTTAATGTGAAACTGGCAGTCTCTCTGGGTTGTGTCTTTTTAGATGTCCTAAAAGCAACAAGGTGCCAAATATACATTTTTAGTTTGGTAGTTTTCCAATTCTATTTCCCAGTTTATGGGTCAAGGTGCACTCAATCCCATCCATATATACACACCAGTGTATGCATCCATCTCTGATCAAAAAACTACATCAGAAGCTTACAACCACTGCTGTGCTTGAACTTTGTAAACACCACTGTTGAAGGGGCAGAGAAGAACCACTATTCAGGAAGAATACACCAAATCCTGGAGTCACTGGACTGATGGAAGCACCATTTCCTGGATTAAATCACTGAGGCGGCATAAACAACTCCAAAACGAAAGGCAGGTTAATTAATAACAAGAATTAGACAAAAAGGACTACCCTCCCCATGTTGTGTAATGATCCAAAATTGCTCTTTTAAAAATGGTCCTATAGGGCTGGGGCTGGGTTCAGCGGTAGAGCGCTCGCCTAGCTTGTGCGAGACCCTGGGTTCGATCCTCAACACCACAAAAAAAATAAATAAAAAATAAAATAAAATAAAGGTATTGTGTCCAACTACAACTAAAAAACTTTTAAAAATAAAAAATGGTCCTGTAAGGGCTGGGGTTGTAGTTCAGTGGTAGAGCACTTGCCTAGCATGTGTGAAGCGCTAGGTTCCATCCTCAGCACCACATAAAAATAAATAAAAAAATAAAAAAGGTATTGTGTCCATCTGCAACAAAAAATAAAATAAAATAAAATGGTCCCATAAGTAACTTGTACCATCGTTGCAAATGCCAGCGTCCCAGTGCTCCAACCTCATGAGGCCTCACCATAAGCCTAGAGAATGTGTGTAGTCGAAAGTTAAAAGCTCACAGAGGCCAACACATTAAACATAAGTTTTCAAGGAACTGGGAATTGAGGAAGAAATCTCAATCCCCTTATCTCTGAGTGGTGGCACCAGGCACCAATGGTAGAAAGATTATATGGGTCTTCTCAGACTGCGGAGGGTCAAAGCTCCCTCCCCAGAATGAGCGACCTTAAGTGCCACGGCAGCGAGGTCCGGAAAAGCGATGTCACTGGCATCCTTGAAGCCGCATCTTTACCGGTATAAGTTA